ACCCCCCCCACGCCCCCGGGCGCCGCCTGGGCTCCCTCTCCTGGCTCTCGCCCGTCTCCTAGGAGCGGTGTTTTCCAGCCCGGCGGTCAAAGGGGAGAGGGGCTTTCCGGGGGCTCCAGCAGGGAGTATTGTGGAGGCTCAGGGCCGCTTTGAAATGTAAATCCGAATTTGAGAAGCCCAACCCGCTTCCAGTTGCCCAGAATTTCTAGAACCAAAATGTGCCTCCTTTCCCTCCGCCTTCAGATCGCATCCACTTAGCCCTGTGTACCAGCTCCTGTGAGATGGGGGAGCCTGCTAGGACGTGGGGTGTCTCCAAGCGATGTCGGCCCGAAGATGGGGTCCCCATGCCTTTAGGTCAGGCTTCCTGCGGTAAACTGGGACCCAGTTCCACAGTCTGGGTTTGTTTGTGTTTTTTTGGCTCTGGCAGTGTTGACTAAGAGGAGCAAAAGGACCTGGTCTGACTTCATGTCCTCGGTCTTATTTATTTTAATATAGAGCACAAAGCCGGTTGCAAGGTGCTCCGAGGGGCTGATATTTTTTCACTCATCTCTAATTTTATCTTTTCAATGTGTGTTGACCACGGTGGGTCAATACCTGAGATTGTAAAATCCAGAATGAAACATCCGTGTTGTGTATCCGGCGTGAGCAGCAATTTCACATACTTGCTGTCTGCCACCTGCCTGAGTCATCCCCGCAGCCTCTGCTGACACTACCGAAAACTTCTCTTATGACATCAGCCTAATCTGCATTTCATGTTATACCCGCTAAAAAGAAAATAGTTTGCCTTCTCTGCGCCCCGCAATTGAGCAGCCCTAAAGAGGAAGTCCATTTTAGCTTGGCCCCCTCGGTTAGTGAATGAGAAATGGGAAGGATGTTTTATTTTTTGTTTTCCATGGCTGATTTCCTTATTACTTACGAGGCAAAAATGAGACGCTCAGAATGGGATAAATAGCAGGGAGCACCTTCTGGACATCATGGCCAGGTGGACAGAACAAAGGTTGATCAGTGTTACCTGTGTTCTGTCTCACCTGTGTGTTGCACAGGTGCTTTTCTTATAGACAGCTAAATCAGATAGAATTACTATAGGTACTCAGGCAAGGCTAGGAAATCGGTGCAGAAGATAGGCACACTGCCAGGTGTGGTGGCGCACGCCTTTAATCCTAGCACTCGGGAGGCTGAGGCAGGAGGACCGTTGCGAGTTCGAGGCCAGGCTGGGCTACAAAGTGAGCTCAAATCCAGCCTGAACTGCATAGCTAGACCCTGTCTCAAAAAGACAAAAAAAAAAAAAAAAAAAAAAACGAAAAAGAAGATAGGAACACTTTACACTGTGGCCAGAGGCACATCTGTCAAAGGCCAGCCCTCAGGATAGAGGTGGAACGGTCAGACCTATGTGCCTCCTGGAGGGATAAACAATAACTTCAAATTATACTATCATTGGTATCATGTGGTCCAGTGAAGTCCAGATGGACATCAGTCACCCCGGTGGATGACAAGAACTTTGGACCCATCCTTGCCCCAAACTGATTCTGTTCTATGGTACCCTTGCTAAGTGACCTGCTTCCCTGTTGGATCAATATTACCTAAGTGTTTATACTTGTAGTCGTATTGATTGACTGTAGTTTGACCCACGTTGTACCCACCTCTTGATTTTGTCCCCACTGCATGACTTTGCTCTATAAAGCTTTCTTAGAGAAGTGGCCTCTGGGAAAACACTTTCAAGTACCCTCCTTTCTCTCTCTCTCTCTCTCTCTCTCTCTCTCTCTCTCTCTCTCTCTCTGTGTGTGTGTCTCTCTCAATTTTTCCCACTCTTAACCTCCATTGTTCCTTAGAATTGATTCTTTGGTTTCGGGGCACATGAACTTTGTGTCTGAAATCTAGTAGATCGGGAGTTATATTTGCCCCTGTATCGCTTTCATCCCTCTCTGTGCGTCCCGGGTCTTGTGGTGACTTCAGCCAACTCTCTGCGCCCTGCTACTTTCTCCATGATCCCCTCCTCCCTAGGTATGAAAATCAACGCAGTCAATGTTAGTACGGTCTGGGAGCAGAATAGCAGAACTCAGGGCCAAGTTAAACTGAGAGAAGAAGCAGAATCCTTGACAAGAGCAGAGGTAAAACGCCTGCGCGTCAGGAGCAAAAGCTTAGCATTTCTATTCCAAGAACACTTTCCACGCATTGATTTGTAAGTCACAATGCTAAGTAGAAACAAACAAAATAGCATTGACTTAAAATATACTTACTGTCTGGAACTGTGTCTTAATTCAATCTTGGGTGGTAGGGAACATCAACTTCCTTTTTAGAAATCTATACTCTGAGATCCAGAAAGATAAAGCTAACGAGTGTCTTGATTAGAATTTGAAACATGGTTGTCCCAGTCTACGTAGCCTGCTATGACTTTTAACCACGGAAATATTTAGATTGTCCCAGCTAGACGCGGCCTTGGAAATCACGCAGTCTCTATTCCTATCATTTTATAGGTGAAAAAATGATTTCCAGGGAAGTGGGTCACTGGCTCAAGGCCACCCAGTTCCAGACTAGGATAAAGCAGCTCAGAGAGCCTGAGGCTAAAACTGAAGTCGCCTCCTCTGAATCCCTTGTTTAAACATTTAAATGTATTCCCTCAACCTTCCCTACAGGGGCTGGGGGTTTAGCTCAGCGGTATATCGCCTGCCTGGCAAGTGTGAGGTCTTGAGTTTGATTCCCGGTACTAGAAGAAAAAAAAACAAAAGATCCCTCCCAGAGTACTTTTTCTCTTTCCGCTTCACTTTCTGGGTGGGTCCAGTTCCCACCCTTATCCACTGTCCCTTCCCTAGCTGTCTCATGGTGTACAGTAACTTCTTTTTCTAAAATATCTTACTTTTAGAGGCTGGGGATTTAGCTCAGCAGCACAGTGCCTGCCTGGCAAGAGCAAGGTCATGAGTTCAATTCCTAGTACCAGAAAACAAAAAACAAAACAAAAAAAAACCCCAAGAATATCTTATTTTTAAATTAATTTAAAATACCTTATTTTTAAATTAAACTAATGATAACATTTATCATAGGGGATTTGTCCCTGTACACATTACAACGTGATTCCCCTTTTTTCCCATTCTCCTCCCCTCTCTTTAACCCTTCTCTTCCGCCTTATTTCTTTATTTCCATTTTATCCTTCTTTTCTTGCTTTTTCTTTTCCCTTCCTTCCTTTCTGCCTACCCCCTGCCTAGTTCCCCTTTCCTTTTGAACAGTTTCTTTCTATTTCACATCTATCATACATTTTTGCTCTTAAATTTCTCACATCAGAGAGACAATGCCATATTTACACTTGTGTGTCTGATTTATTTCACTTAAGTGCATGGTCTCAAGGTCCATCCACTTGGCTATAAATATCTCAAGTTTATCCCTTTTATGACTGAGTAATACTTCATTGTATAAAAAACCACATCTTTATCCATTCATCAGTTGATGGGTATTTGGGTTGTTTAGCTGTTACAAACTGAGCTGCTATAACCATGAGTGCACACGTATCACTGTGCTATTGATACAGGGGAAACACCCAACCTGCTAGACGTCCATGTTCTCTGAAATCGAGGAAGGCATTCTAGAAGTTAAGAGTAGGAAGAATTGAGGCTGGGGATTTAGCTCAGCAGCACAGTGCTTGCCTGGCAAGCACAAGGTCATGAGTTCAATTCCTGACACTGGGAAAAAAAAGAAAAAAAGAGTAAGAAGAATTTATTGAGAGAAGGAAAGCTTCTGTCTAAGAGAGACAGAAGCAGGCCCCCAAAGTGGGTTGCCTACTGACCCTGCTTCTCGAGGGTGTGTTTACTGAGCAAAGCCTCAAGGTGAGATGAGGTGGTTCAAGGTGGGACAGAACTATCATCAACCAATACGATTACAAGTATAGTCACTTAGGTAATCTTATAGGCAGCTGAGTTAGATAGAAATATTATAGGCAAACAGGGCGGGGCCCTTGAAAGAGCCAACATGAAAGACAAGATAAGATAAGTATTTGCTGTAGGCCAGACCTCAAGACAAAAGATTAAACAAATATATCCACATACCTCCCTAGGTGTAAATATCAGGGGTTGATATTCTATTTGTTTTGGGGTTTGTTTTTTTTTTGTATTTTTGAGACAGGGTCTCACTATGCAGTTCAGGCTGACTGTGAGCTCACTTTGTAGCCCAGGCTGGTCTGGAACGCACAAGGGTCCTCCTGCCTCAGCCTCCTGAGTCCTGATATTCTAAATAGGTAACATCACCTTGAAGAGTCACTGACTCAACCCCTTACAGAAAAAGCCCCTGTTCTGTATTCATGCCCCCTTGCTGCATGACTCACTTCCCCATTCGATCCTGATTTAATCAATTTTACCTGAACAATTCTTATTGGCTGACCATAGTTTTGTCCATTTTTCCCCTACCTCGGACTCACTTCACCTCATGGTTTTGCTCTATAAAAGTCCCTAGAAAAGACAGAGTCTGGGGC